TTAATACTAAATCTTGCTCATTTGTTTTACGTGACATCCTTCATTGCCCAACTGCCTCCACTAATATCCTTTCTGCTCATCAATTTACCCTAGATAATGATTGCTACTTACTCATCTTTCCCCGTTGTTTCCTTGTTAAGGACCTCAAGACACGGAAGACACTTTTCTGAGGGAGATGTGAGAATGGGTTGTACCCATTTCCAAATGGCAGTGGCTGTCTCAAGCATTTTGTTACTGCATGTGTGGGAGTTCGAGTGTCGGTTCAAAGGTGGCATGCACGTCTTGGCCATCCTGCAAAACCAACAATAAAGTTTTTAATTTCAAATAAATTGGTACCAATTCATGGTACCTTTGATGTACGCTTTTGTGAGTCATGTCCTTTAGGTAAAAGTACTAAATTACCTTTCCAATTGTCCGAGTCTAGGTCTCAATTTCCTTTGCAACTTGTTCACTCAAATGTGTGGTGTTCTCCAATTCGTTCTAACGAAGGTTTTCGTTATTATTTGTTGTTTGTGGATGATTATTCGCGATATTCATGGATTTTTCCAATGAAACAAAAATCTGAAGTCTTTGCGATATTTGTGAAATTTAAAGCCAAAGTTGAAAATATGTTTAATCAATCCATAAAAACTCTTCAATGTGATGAAGGTGGTGAATATAAGAATAATTATTTCCAAAGGTTTCTCGATGTTCATGGTATTTCACAATGTTTTTCTTGCCCTAAACATCCTGAACAAAATGGTTTAGCTGAACGAAAACATCGACATATTGTCGAAACTGCAATGGTTATGCTTGCTCAGTCTTTCATGTCAACTAATCTTTGGTTTGATGCATGCTCAACTGCCACATATCTAATAAACCGATTACCTACTCGTGTATTATTTAATATATCTCCGTTTGAGAAAATATTTCAAAGAAAACCAAATTATGAGCTTTTGAAGGTGTTTGGTTGCCGTTGTTTTCCTTGGTTAACACCATACACACAAAATAAATTACAACCAAAATCAAAGTCATGTGTTTTTCTTGGATATTCATTGAACTATCAAGGATACAGATGCTTGGACATGTCCACAAGACGAGTTTATTTGTCTCGCCATGTTCTATTCGACGAGGACTCTTTCCCTTTTAAGGGACTCACATCTCCTTCTGAAAGTGTCGACGTACAAGGTAACAACTTTTTACCTCATTCATTATTAAACTTCCTGTCACCCACTACCTTTCCACCGAGTCCTACATCCACTCATATTGATCCATCCCAACAAATCCCTTCTGCCCCTAGCCTCGCAGCAGCCATAGAATCCTATCTTGATGTAACTTCTCCTCAAAATACACCATCCATTGATGAAACCGTATCCCAGTTCAATCCACCTTTAGAGCCTAACCTGTCTATAGAACCCTTACTACCATCACATGAGCAAGTTTTAATAAATGAGCATCCTGTGCAAGCAACTGTGCCTAGTGATACTGGACATTCTATGACTACACGCTTTAAATCTAGGGTTCTAAAACCAAATCCAAAATATGCTATGCATGTTGCAGTTGATAACTCTCTTGTTGAGCCTACATGTTTCAGCCAGGCAGTCAAACATCAGGCATGGAGAGAAGCTATGGCGTAGGAGTTTAATGCCCTACAAAGGTGTGGAACCGGGAGTTTAGTTCCGTACAATTCTACAATGAATGTGCTACCAAACAAATGGGTTTTTAAAATTAAACGTCGAGCCGATGGCACTATTGAGCGTCATAAAGCTCGATTAGTGGCAAATGGATTTCATCAGAAGGCTGGTGTGGATTACACTGAGACGTTCAGTCCTGTGGTAAAGCATAGCACCATTCGACTTGTGTTAAGTCTTGCTTTATCAAAGAAGTGGCATGTACGCCAACTTGATGTGCATAATGCGTTTCTGCATGGATACTTGAATGAACATGTTTACATGAGACAACCATCGGGGTTCATTGACAACCAGTTTCCTCATCATGTCTGTAAGTTGCAACGATCTCTTTACGGTCTCAAATAAGCGCCTAGGGCTTGGTTTCAACGGTTCTCTAATTTCTTGTTTCAACTAGGGTTCGAGGAGTCTACATGTGACTACAGTCTTTTTGTGTTTGACAAATAGGGTGTATATATTATTTTGTTAATTTATGTCGACGATATTCTTATCACAGGGAACAGTCCATGGCAGATGACTCATTTCATTCAGAAACTTGGTAGTTTGTTTTTAATGAAAGATTTGGGACCGCTCAGTTTTTTCTTAGGCATTGAAGTAAAGTATACTGGTGATGCCATGCATCTTTGTCAGTCTAAATATGCACTGGACCTCCTCACTCGAACAAAATTCACAGATGCCAAACCTATTTCTACTCCCGTGTTGTCTGGTCAGAAACTGAGTGCTTATATTGGCGATCCTTAAGCCAATCCAGAGATGTATCGCAGTCTTGTGGGGGTGCTCCAGTACCTCACAATTACACGACCTGATCTGTCCTACGCTATAAATCAAGTGTGCCAGTTTATGCATTCTCCGAAAAACACCCACTGGATGACAGTCAAGAGAATTCTTCGGTATTTGAAGGCTCCATATAATCATGGTTTACTGTACCAACCAGCAACTGCTACGTTGACAGCTTATTCGGATGCAGATTACACTGGCAACCCTGATACTCGTCATTCTATGGGTGGTTTCTATGTTTATTTAGGTTCTAACCTTGTCTCTTGGAGTTCAAAGAAGCAGAAGACAGTTTCACGATCGAGTGCAGAAGTGGAGTATAGGCAGTTAGCTTATACTGTTGCAGAATTATCCTAGTTACGGTCTCTATATAAAGATCTTCATTTGAATTTGGTTCCACCAAACATTTGGTGTGACAACATTTCTTCAATTGCCTTGGCGTCCAATCCCGTCTTCCACTCGCACACTAAGCATCTGGAAGTCGACTACCATTATGTTCGCGAGAAGGTTGTTCGTAAGCAGCTCTTGGTAAGTTATGTGTGTTCCCAAGACCAGCTTGCTGACATTTTTACTAAAGGACTGTCTTCTTCAAGATTTAAGTTTCTTGTCTCCAAGCTTCCAGTTGTTCCCCCACCTGTTCGCTTATGGGGGGCTGTTAAACAAAGTCAACCTGCAGTTTCATCTACCATGCTTTCAGGAGTCAACTCCGAGATTTGAGGAGTTTGTTTAGTTTGAAAGTGTTATCAGATTACCACTCCTTGTTTGTAGGATATAGGTTTTGATATATGTAAATTGGAGCTTTTCTGTTTTGTATTTTGAATTTCAAATCTCCTTGTAATTAGGGTTTTCAAACCCTTTGATGTAATCATGAACAACTTATAAATACAAAGCATCCCATAGTTGAATGGGTATGCAAACAAGTGGAAAACCTGTGTTCTTAAGTTTTATACGGTGTTCTCATAGGGCGTAGGAAAGATGGTGACTGAGAAAGGTAGGTGAAGGAAGGAGGAGACGACATAAGAAGAAACGCGAAAGTTTCATGTTTGCTAGGTTTTATGGTATTTCCCTTTTTTTTCTTTTTTTTTTTTTTGAAGTATTTTTTATTGAATAAAAATTCATATCAGTTTAAATAATGTGGTTGTCCACCTAAGATGCCACTTAAGATGATACTAGCCTCTTATACACTTATGTTAATTTAAAGTTTTTTTCCATGGTTTTTTACAAAAAAAAAAAAGGAATTTAAGTTTTTTTTATTTAAAATTTATTTGGAAATAAATTGGAAGTCAAGCATAAACCACCCATTAATGTGGGAGATTTTTGTTTTTGTTATTTTTTTTAAGTTTTAAATTCATTCAAAATTAAAATGTGTTGAATTACTTTAACTCTTTTTAATTCAATTGTAATTTGTGAAAGTTTTGAGAGGCAATTTATGGTATTTTGAAGGCTTCATCATTTTGGGGTGCTTTATTTATAGACATAGATATAGATAACATTATGATACAAATAGATTATAAGGGTAGCATGCTTGTAATACGAATGCTTTTAACTTTAGGCACAATATAACTTAATTACAAAAGATCGAGAAAGTAGGACACATTAGTGGGGGAGAAGGGGAAAATGAGGAAATAACTCTGATTTAAACTCTAATCACTTTTGGCCCACTTTTAAGATATCAGCTTTTTGGATAATAGAGAGACCAAAATTTTAAGTCAAATTTATAAACCAAATGATGTGTCACCCATAAGAAATAAATTCGGTAATCAACACTTAAGTAACAATCCGATCATCAACAACCACATCATTTGGTTTACAAGACTTGGTTTTAAATTTTAACCTCCTTAGCATTATCCCAGTTTTTTTAGTAAGCACCTGGAAGTGCTTTTTAAGTTAGCACTTGGATTTATAATAAAACTTGGAACGTGTTTTGTGAAAAAAAAAAAATCACTTTACGCCAACGAGCTCAGAATTAATTAATAGAAAAGCAATTCTAAGTGGGCTGGTCCAAAACTTATAGAGATAGATAGTTACAAGCAAATAAAACATGGGCTAACTTTAATATTAGCCGACTCAACTGGAAGTGTTATTGAGTGGAGCCAGAATATGAGCCCTAGATCCAGTTCCCGTACTCCAAACAAAAACGCAGATTGGGACGGCGCGTGTTACAAATGCGCTTCATGGGAACGCGTGCGAAACAGTACCATAATCAATATACCACTCAGAGTTATAGTTTTCTTCGTAACCGCTGCTGCAGGTAAGAGAATGCTGCCAAAACAAAGCAGGATGAAACTGCCAGTTGATGGCCATGGTCCATGCCAATTTCCAGCCTCAGCAGAGCGAGAGAGCATCTGGCGTGGAGTGTGTGTACTGCCAACGTGGCGTCCTGTGCTAATCGTACAATGTATACAGACGCCATAGTGTATTCGTGTCATGAAAGTACATTCCCGAGCATAACGACCCCTTTGAAGAAGCTCATTATATACACATGCAAGGGCAGGCTACTGTTACTCCACTTCACTTGATTCTTCTCTCTCTCTCTCTCTCTCTGTCTGAAGGAAGAAAATGTTTGCAGCTCAGCTTACACAACAGCTCATAGATTTTATCCGCTCGTTGCGAGAGCAGGTGAGATCAACACTCCACCCCCTTTTCTTTTTTGCCTTCTTTTTTTAGTTCGCTTTAAGAACTTCTTTTTGAATTTTGTGGAGTTTCATATGCTAATTTATATGTTTATTTATTTGTTTTTCAGAAAGAGTGGTGAAGAAGGGTTTTAATTGGTTTAGCTCTAATATATGGTCAACTTATTTAGGACTTGTAATGCTGATTTTATTGATGAATTTGAGATATATCTCTGTTAGGGTATTGGATCATTGTTTTTGCCTTAGTCACAGTTGGTATTTGGTGGGACTGGTCGCTGGTTCTTTTAGTGATTAGGGTTAATGCAGCAACACGTTAACATATTAGTTGGTTGTAACTAATCACCATGTTTCTGGCAGGGCATACTGGATGACCGCTTTGATCAAATCAAAGAGTTAGAAGATGAAAATCCTGGTTTAGTTGTGGAAGTGCTAACCGTTGCTATTCGTAGTGCTGACTTTACCATAGATGAACTTGAAAAAAAACTGTAATTCTCTTCAGTGGCTCCAATTAAATGACGTTTTAGTATAACTGTTGCCTATCTATAGTGACTCATTTTGGAGAGGTCAATTACAGGAGTGGAACTGTCATCGACTATTCTAAGGTGAAAGAACTTACGCTCAAGCTCAAGGGAATTAGCGCGAGGTAATACTGCCAATTACATCTTGTTGTGTACATGCACTTCACTCAAAATATTTATGATTTTTATACATCTGCTGTGTCATACGGCCAAATTTATCAAGGCATAATTGCTAAGATGTTCTTACTAATTAAGATGTTTTTGTGTATGAGAAATGAGATTCATGTTAGATATCCAACAGAGTGACTAAACGAACTTTAGAAATTCCTTTTAAGTATACTTGGATGTTTGTAATATTTGTTGCACCTGTTTAAGATTCGGAAGATTTTGTTAGAAAATTTCTTGTTTGGATGTAAACGTTTGCAAGTTATCATACCGTTAGTTAAAGGATTTCCAATTTTGGTTAAGCAAATTTGCAAGTGAGAACTGAAAAATCTAGTGAATATGTCCATGCTCATTGCATATTAATACCGTTGGAAGATATATAGTCAGTTACTAAATTTTCGATTTGGATGTGAAAGAACGTGAAATGGAGATCACATTTGCAAGCATTTAACTTAACATAATTGATAGTTAGCAACACGTAGCGCGTGGATGAAGATTCATATGATTGGTTGTTTATGAAGCCGTGCATATCTGAAAACATGGAAAAAGTAAGGTGCTAACTAAGAAATCTATTGAAGTCAACACGTAGTGTGTTTAACACGTGGCATATGATCTATCCATGCTCACGCGCGGCATGTAATCTATTCATGCTAACGCGTGCATATGATTTATCCACGCTCACGCGCGGCATATGCCGATTCAAGTTCCAAATAATTCATATTACAACCTTTAATAGAATAAAAAGTAAGAACTGTTACAACCTACTCTGGTAGTGCATGTATTGCTCATATCTTTCTAGTCTGTACGTGAATTAGGGAGAAAAGCATACGAATAGAAAAATTGACTGGTTTCCTGTGACACTCTGCATATATGCCCTGCCTGAATCTGTGGCAAGATCTATCACATTGAATGTTGAAGCACATATGCAGTCAATTTTTGATAGATCTTGCCATAATTTGGCATAGGTAGATAATATTAATTTTACCACAGAATAATTTGGGCATAGGTAGATAATATTAATTTTACCACAGATTCAACTATATACCTTAGTTTCTTCTTGAAGCACATAATTTGGGCAACGCAGGACTTAGTAAATGACAATGGCTTCTAGGATTGGAGTTTCTTTCATGACATAGATGATTTTATAGATTATAAATGCTCAAATTGTTCTGCATTTTACATAGGTAGATAATATTAATTTGGTTTACTGCATTTGGAGTTACAGTGTTGGCGGTTGCCGAGTGGCTGCAGCTTGTATTGAGCTCCAAGAAGCATATGTTGCAAATAACAAGGAAAGGTACGATTTTGTTCTCTTACTACCACATCATACAGTTCTATTTGTTTTATTTTACCGCACCACATCTTCAATCAAGTTTTAGGAATACATGCTACTAACATTCCACAACTATGAAAATTCGAAATCATTTCATTTTTTAGAACTGTAATGCCAAAGTAGGTCTTTTAGCCCCTCATAGCCATGTAGGAAAACAAAACGATATGGGAGAGAAAGAGAATTATCTAACGAAAAGTATGCCAGGGTTTTTAAACTCTTTAAAGATCTCTCTCCCTTCTGCCTTCTATTAATTCACTATATATCTTCGGTTCCAGTTGAGTAGTTATGCTCAATTTCTCAAAAGTTGAAGAGAAAGAATATTTACATTTCAACAACCTTTGCAATTCTCTCAGACTTATACAAATCATCTTATGTGATCTACCATAGAGACCTTCTCGTTCTCTTACTAACCCTCTTTTTAATGAAATGCTATGTTTTCAGGTGCGTTGCAGGCTTTGACGTGGTCAAAAGTGAATATCTTGTCTTGCGGGAAAACCTAAACCACATTCTTCAGGTAATACTAGTAGTGAACTTAGATCACTCTCAACCTTAATCTGTAGAAATGTACCTCTTCATCTTTTCACCCATACTATTACATAGTATGTTATATAAAGAAATACATAGAGGTACATAGAGGTTCTGGTCATATGTACATTAATGAAGAGAAGGGAACATGTTGCCGGATAAAAGAAAAATGATAGAACTTTAAACTTTTGAATAATTTAGTACCAGGGAAGATTTTTACTGTCCAACTGATTGCAGAAGGAAAAAAGAAACTAATTTGATGGTGTGATCGATTATTTCTAGTATATTACTAAATGCTTTCATTGATAATTTCCTCAATCGAAAATGTTCTAATTGATTATTTCTCTTCGTTATTTCCTAACAAATAATCTTGAAATAGTCTGCAGTGCAGATAGAACGTGAAATCAATGCCAACAAGCCCAAGAGCCGTCGTCACTAGACAGCTGGTTTGTTCATTCGGTCTTTGGAAATGGCTTCTCCGGAAGATCAGATGTTTCTTTGTTTAATGTTTAGTGAACATAGTATTTAGCTATTTGAGACTGCTTTTGTCTGTCTTATGTTGTGATATGAAGTTTGGACTTGATTTCGTATCGCCTTTAACATATATTAGTAAATTTGACTGCTGTTGGATAGGAAAAAATGCTTCTATTAGACAAAATAATGAGAGAGAGTAGAGTTCTTGCGGAACTTTTCTTCTTCTTCTTCTTCTTCGATCTGTTCTTGGTAGAAAGAGAGACGATATAGTTAGAATGAGAGATTTAGAATGCTGGATTGCTTCAACTTCTGTGATCAGTGAACAGAAATCAACAGAGTCTTGTAAATTTTAGGGAAAAGGAAGGAAGTTCCTCTGCATATAATTTCATGCTTTTTGGATGAATTAGTAAGAACCATATAGGGAAAAGGATTCCTCTGCATATAACTTCATGCTTTTTGGAATGATATAAGGAATCATCAGAACTTAAAACTGATTTTTTACAATTTAAGTTTGCTGAACATAAAATGGAGAGTTTCACTTTCACAAAGGAAAAAGGAAGATCAGTACAATTTGGCTATAAAAGATTAGGATTTAGGGCAAAGGTAGGGTTAGGCAGAGACAAAGCAGCACAATTAGCATAATATTTTGTTCATATCATCATTATCGTTCTCAAGTTTCTCTCTTATGCGATGATGCATGCTAGGTATTAGAATTTTTTTTCAAAACTAAGAAATTTTAAATTAACATAGCCCAACTCTAATTCCATATGTGCCACCTTCACTCTTACATGCCCACCACCTTGCAACCCCCACCTCAACCCCCACAATTATCGTGGTCTTCGTTGCAACTCCCACCATCACGCCACCACAACCACCTCTCCTAGTCCTACCATGTCACCACAACTATTACCACCACCACCATTCTCATTTCCACCATCATCGCCAGCGCCACAACCATGCTATGTACTGCCACCCCCCACCACATTTCCATGACCATCACCCCACTCCAACCACCATTGCTGCGACCACCCCACCATCATGGCTTTCACCACCACTTCCACTGTCATTGTCGTTGAGTGACCTTATATGTGTTTACAAGTAGTTGGGCTACTTCTCATATTGTCAATTGGTTTTATGATGAAACCTCAACTTCTTCATGATACCAGAGCATGTGGTCCAACGAAAGAAGGACAAATGCTCAATGTTGCCCGATTTGTAATGTCTACGTGTTAGTCTTGAAAATTCCCTACACGTGATGGGGAGTGCTAAGAACTTGAGAGTAAATCCCACATTGAAAAAACAAGGGACCTTATATAAGTAGTTGAGATTAGTTTTCTATAGAACCTCAACTTATTCAATTGTCATCTTCACTCCCCCACCAACAATGCCTTCACCCATCATCATCACTATCGTCACCACCCATCACTATCACCGCCTCCACCCCCACACCACAATGGCCTCCACTCCCACTGTTGTCGCCACCCTCACTCCCACCACCAACATTGCCGCGGTCATCGCCCATTATCAGGACCGTCTTCACCACCCACTAAGTCACTAACATCACCATAACTAGTCAAACAACTTCACAAATACAAAGAAATGTAAATTCCATCATTTTAAAAATTCTTTATTAATAATTTTAAATGTCCTCACCAAACATAAAGTAACTTAATCCAATAAAACATTGAACCGAGATTGACTTAAATTTTAGCCGGTTTCTAATATAACGATATATTTGTAGTACTAGTAACTAATCACCATAAGACAACCATAATAATTTTGGTGTTGAACACATTATGTATGAGATTTGAACGTAAGTTATAAGAGGAATACTGTTAGACTGTAAATAATGATTTGAATCTAAGATATAAAAAGAATACTATTAGATTGTAGTACAAAGTGCCAATTTTCCCGTAAAAACAGATAATCCTTGGGCCTTAGATTGGGAAAACGCGTGTTACAGACTTGCACCATGAGAGCGTGGGAAACAAAATCAGAATCTCACACATCGAGTGACAGCAAGAGAGAGAGTTGTCTTTCTTTCGTAACAGCTATGCGCCTAAAGGAGTAAGGAAATGGGGCTTTCCAAGTGAAGCAAAGTGCAGGTAGGAGAGAGAAAGAGAGATAATACAGCCAAAGCAAAGTGCGGGATGAAACCGCCAGTTCAGATTGTGATATTATACAGACATGCAAAGCCATTGAGACACTCCACTTCTCTCTCTTGTTTCCTCTCTCTCTCTCTCCCTCTCCCTCTCTCTCTCTCTCTGGGGGAAGAAAATGTATGGGACTCGACTTGAACAACAGCTCTACGATTTTACCCGCTCTTTGCAGGAGCAGGTTAGCTCACTCCTTCCTCTTTCCTTTGCTTTTCTTAAATGCTAATTAGCTTGTCTTTTCGAAATCCTTAATTATTTAATTAATTTTGATTTTTTAAAAACTCCTTTTTGAAATTTGGTGAGCTTTATACGTTAATCTAAATATCTATTCATGTTTCTGATTGATTTGCATGTAATGCTGAAGACTTGGGTGTTACAAATCTGTTTTGTTTGATGAAGGAGGAGGGAAATTTAGAGGGAGAGAGGGAAATATAGAAGCCTGCGATGGCTTTGCTAATTTTTGTAGATTTTTCTGGATGGGGTGTGTCTCTATAGTGAAGTAATTAACTTTATCACAATGCCACAAAATAAAGCCAAGAAATATGGTTGAAAATGGTAATTCCTAAACGTTACCCATTTTTTTAATTATGAAATTTCACATAATCTCTCTATTTTAGGTGTTGCATCATTGTTTTCCTCTTCACCGTAGGTCCGTAGGGTTAGTATTTGGTTGGGCTGGTCACTGATTATTATTTATGTAGTAACAGGTAACATTTTTTTCACAGACAAAAAAGGATCATATTAAATTTAATTTACAAACTAATCGCCATGTTTCTGGCAGGGTATATTGGACGACCGCTTTGATCAACTGAAAGAATTAGACAATGAAACTCCTGGTTTGGCTGTGGAAGTAATAGCCATCTTCATTCGTGATGCTGACTATGGCATAGAAGGACTTGAAAGAAAACTGTATTTTTCTTCAATGGTTTCAAGTAATTGCTTTATAAGTTTAATTATTGCCTATACATATTGACTGATTTGGGAGAATTCAGTTTTAGGAGCAAAACTGTTCTCAACTATCCTAAGGTTACAGACCTTACGCATAAGCTCAAGGGAATTAGCGCAAGGTAATATTATTGCTGATTACATCTGAGATTTCTGCCTATTTACATGTATTTCAGTCAAGAAATGTGTAAATTTTATACACCTATGTCGTAAGACCATCAATGATCAAGGCAAAACTGCAAAGACGCTTTCTTTTGTGTATGACATATGAGATTGATGCTACACATCCAATAGAGTGCCTAAACGAAACAATCGGTTGCATCTGTATAAACATTTAGAAAAATTTTGTTGGTTAACTTTTCTTGTTTAATTTCTACATAAATAGGCAAGGCATATACCTTTGTAAATTACCATTACCTTTTTTAGGTCAGAAAAGTTAGCCTTACCTATAACAATCTATCACTAGGTAAAATTTGGAAGTGATAACTGAAAAATCCAGTGAGTATATCCACACACATTGCATGTATAACTGTTAGAAGATATTGTCAGATACCAATTTTCCATTTTGGATGTAAATGAATGTGACATGGAGATCGATCACATTCTTCCAAAGTGTAAATATGAAGCAACGTAAAAATTGACAGGTGATATTACTTTGCAGTCCTTCCATTTCTACATTTGGACAAATGTGATCTCCACACATGTTCATTAAGTTCAAAATGGAGAATTGGTAATAACATGCGACATGCATGGCATAATCACTAGATTTTTCAGTTATCACTTCCAAATTTTACCTAATGATAGATTGTTTTAGGTAATGAGAACTTTCCTGACAAATAACGGTAATGCTAACTTACAAAGGTATGCCATACCTATTTACATTGAAAGTTAAACAGATGAAACCAATACTACGGATGAATAAGTCTATGTAAGACAGAATTTCGAAAGCAATGTTTCATTTAGGCACTCTATTGGATATGTAGCATGAATCCCATGTCATACACAAAAACTAAACATCTTAGCAATGGTGCCTTGATAGTTAGCAATTATTAGTAAACTTTACATACGTTTGATCATTTATGACAGCGTGCATATTTGAAAAAACTTTGAAGTAAGGTGCTAAATAAGAAATCTAGTGAAGAAGTCAACACGAGGCCCCTGCTATTGTGGGGCAAGATGAAGATTTATCTAATCTATTATTCATGTTCACGCATGGAATATGCAGACTCATGATTTATTCAACTTATTGACAAGATTATATTAGGCTTTGCATATGCATACTCATAGAATGAATACATATAAAAATGATTACAAACAGAGGCAGAGCCACATGGAGGCCAGGCTAGGCCTAGGTCCATCCTGAAATTTACGTGTGTGCTTGCGCGCGCAACTCCTTATTGTAAATCACTAGTACGTACTGCAGTGGTGAGTGGAATTTGACTATACCATCTGCTCATGGGTGCGAAACTTGTGTTTGTCAACAACCCATTTTGGTTTTTTAAAACTAATAGCCTTCTCTTTCTTTTCTTTTTTTTTTTTTGGTTTTTTTTTTTCTTAAAGCTAGACCATATAAAACCTAGTTTTCTCTTTCTCTTTTTTTTTTATTTTTTTTTATTTTTTATTTTTTTTTTTAAAAAGCTAAACCATATAAAAACTAGTTTCTTTTTCTGTCAGTTCATAAAACCAAACTTATAATTAGCCTTCTCTTTTACCATATAAAAACTAAATTTTTTTTTTCTGTCAGTTCATATAAAACAAAGGTAATCTCACAGCAAAAGTTTTGAGTTATGATCTTAAATTTTTCTTCGAATCTTCATTTTTTTTATATTAAAGCTCGTAAACAAATTCTACTCTTATAATAGAATCATCTTAATACTAAATTCTTCATAAAAATTTTAAAGCCCCATTACTCTTGTTTTATAAATTTTTTCATGCCAATAAAAAAATCTTAATTTTTTTTTTTCAATTATTGATATTGCTATATTTAATTTAATTTTTTTTATGTGTTAAAGGCCCCTCCTGAGAGGAGTTTGAGATTTTATCACAAAAGGACTCGATATTAGTTAAAGTGGGGTAATCATATTTAAACTCATCATTTTTCTTTTCCCCACCGATGTGGGATAGCGAACACTTATTTCTTGAGTCTCGAAATGTTTTTTCAATTGAGACCCGCAGTGAATATTATACCTCATAAAGTCTATTTCTAATCCTGGGTATAAATTATAAGCAGACATTAAATAAATGGTTTATTATCAACAAGAGAGAAATTGCTAGTCAAGTTTTAAATGTGACAAAGGAAAGACAAAGGATTATGGGGATGGAGTTTCTTTCATGATATAGAAGATACTATTTCCATCTATTGATTGTTTCTGCATTTTAGTATTATATATTATTATTCTCATTAGGAGCTCCAAAGGATGCTCGATTTTTATGTCTACTTTTCTACTTAATTAGTATATATTGATATGTTTGCTGCATTTGGAGTTACAGTGTTGGTGGTTGCCGGGTGGCTGCTGCTTGTAGTGAGCTCCGAGAATCAAGCCTTGCCTATAATAAGGAAAAGTAAGAATTTTTTCTCTCATCACCAAGCTGCTAAAAATGAAATTACTTGTGTCCACTTCATACAGTATAATCCTTAAAATTTAAAGCACTCCAAATGCCCCTCATTTCCATGTAGGAAAATAGGACTGGATGCAATTCTATGACAAAAAATAAGCCGGGGTTTTAAAAGGTTTAGGTTTAGGGTGAATAGAAAGAATAACACTAAACAACCTTCGCAATTCACTCAGATTTATACAAATCCTCTCTATTAACACTATTTCAACAAATGCTATGCTTTTAGGTGCTTTGCGGACTTTGACGTGGTCAAGCGTGAATATATTTACTTGAGGGAAAAGCTTCATCAAATTCTGGAGGTAGTACTTACAGTGAATTTTGATCAATCTTAGCTTTAATCTGCAGAAATGTTTCTTCTTTAGAACCATCCATGCCGTTACATTCTATGCTATGGAAAGAAATATATGTGGGTTAATAAGAGAACCTGTTGCCAGGAAAAAAAAAAAAATTTGAGCTTTAGTACTTTCTAACAACTTATGAACATGCCGATTTTTATTTTTAATTGTTTGCAGAAGGAAAAAAAAAAATAGAGTTATTGGTCATTTCCAGCATCAATACACTATATTACTAAACAATTTCAGTGGTGATTTCTTCCATTCAGTATATCCTCATATGCTTATTTCTCTCTTCTTTTTCTTTTCCAAATATACTCTGGACATATACTGAGTACAGATGGAACGCACTATTATTGCTCCTTATGATACCAAAAAGCGCCGTAAGTAGAGAGCTGGTTCTTCATTCGGGCTTTTAGGATAGTTTCTTTGGAAGATCAGATGTTTATATCGGCTGTGAAATAAGTTTCCTGGAACTGAACTTTAGTATCTTTTTATAAACAGGTTATGACTTGTTTAGTGTTGTATTTTTGGTGCTTTATAATAAGTTCATGCTAAGTGAATTGGAGACTGCTTCTATATCTATACTCTTGTAACTTTGATTTTCGTGATGGAATGGTACCAGGCCATGATCTTTTTATGTTAATTTCTTAAGGTTTTAGCTTTTGGAAATAAGGATTCGAAGAACAATATTGCAGAGAGGCTTGAGTGAGAGAGAGTAAAATTTCATAGTGTTTCATTAATCAAAACCCTAGCATGTAGAGGCTTGGAGAGATCCTATTTTTCAGGGATGAATCTCAGCCCTCTAGAGCACCAGGAGCTGTAGTCCTTCCACTTGGGAATAGATCGAGCAACACAGTACATTCAAGAGATAAGAACAAACATAGATGTTCATCTTTCCTGAAATAGTAACTTAAACTAACCGTTGGACATTTAAACATAACGGCTATTACTAAAAATAGAAACTTTCTTCATCTTTGCAAATTCATCTGCAGGATTCAACATCTGCAGGTTGATATCAAACCTTGTGAGGAGCTTAATTCTCAACAGCCTCTCCTAAGCTGCTTACTGGTTTCACTCCAAGCTTGAGTCTCAAGTAGTTGAATCTTTCTCTAGACAATGCCTTAGTAAAGATATCTTCAAGTTGTTCTTCACTTCTGCAGAACTTCACATCAATCACTCCTTGTAATGCTTTCCTTATGAAGTGAAACTTCCTACTTATGTGTCTAGTTTTTTGGTGGAAGACAGGGTTCTTCACCATAGAGATTGTAGACATGTTATCACAGAATAGGGGTGTTGCATCAATTCAGTTTCAAATGGTTTGAGCTTGGAAGCACCCTACTATTTATCGGTAGGCGAGAACAAACTGCTATTGGCTGCTTCGCCTATCTATTCTATTATGGCAGGCTTTTCTCCAAAATCATCAAGTACAAACCTTAACCAAATGGATTGAGCTGAGACATACTCAACTTTTGCAGTTGATAAAGCAACTGTGTTTTGCTTCACAGAAGCCCAAGAGAAGACGCCACAGCTAAAACTAAAGGCATAGCTTAAGGTACTCCTACAATCATCTTCACTTCCTGCCCAATCAACATCACAAAATCCTACAAGGATTGCAGCTTTGTCTTTTGTGTACTCAATTCCATAACTTAGTGTGCCCTGCACACATCTTAGAACTCTTCTTCCAACTCCAAAATGTTTCTTTGTGGGATTGTTCATGAACCTTGACAACAAACTAGCAGCATATATCAGATCTGGTCTAGTTGCCATCAAATACAATAGACTGCCTACAATTTTTCTATACATGCTTTCATCAGCCAATTCACTTCCATCTATCTTTTTGCAGCTAGAGGAATAGACATAAATTTACAGTCTTCAAGGCCAAACTTCACAAGTAATGATTTTGCATACTTGCTTTGGTGAATAAACACACCACTCTCAGTTTGCAAAATACTCATTCCTAAGAAACGATGAAGTAAGCCTAAATCAAACATTTCATACATCTGCATCATCTCTCTTTTGAACTCACTGAGTAATATTTTGCTACTACTGGTGCACACAATGTCATCAATAGATATTGAAACAATGATTAAACCACCTTCTTCATTAGACTTGGTGTCGAGAGTAGCTTCACTTGTGCTCCTTTTGAATTTGCAGCTGGTGATATTAGGGATGGACAATGGTTATGGCAGGCGGGTAACCGCGGCTCTTTACCCATAACCGTTTAAATTCTTACTTGCATAACTGTTTACCCATTGGGTAATTGTATAAACAGTTATATCCATATCCATAACCGTTTATAAAAGGTAACCATACCCATAACAGCGTACCCGTTTAACTGTAACTATTTACCCGTTTTTAACCCATTTACCCGTTTTTTTACTCATTTTACCCATTTTTTTACAAGTCATGATTTTTTAACTACTTGAAAATTAAAATAGAAATTTGTCATAATTTATTTTTCTAACAATTAAACACTGTTATAGGTACATTGAACATGCATTTTCATATTTTAATATTTTAAGTCCTTAAAAAACTTATACATATTATTATAATATTGATGAAAAATATTACAATTGTCGTATGCTTATATCATGAGAGTCGTTCTCGTTACGAAGCTTGTGTGATTGGCAATCAATTAGTATCATAAGTGAAAGAGAAAATAAAACAAAGGCTGAGGCATCAAAATAAAAACTCATTGCATGAGTGTCCGTGAAAATAAATTAGGAAGCAGGGACTCTCGCCTGGACATTAGTCAGCATAACACAAACAATTGCTTCCCTTCTTCAATTATTTACCACATGTCAGACCAATCCAAAACTCCAATTTCAATTAATCGAATATATATGTCATTGAATTAATTTTGAATAAAAATGAGAAGCAGGTTTTGTGATTGACGGAAGTTGGAATGAGATGCCTCCATCATCGACAACTAAAAATGGGCAACAAATTCATTGTTTTACCTGAGATTAGAGGGGGGAGGAGATAGAGAGAGGGCAGCAAAGAGAGAGATGAGCAGCAGGAGTGTGGGACAGGTGGAACAATTCAAAAGTTTTTAGTTTTTTTTTTTTTTAATGTGACATATATTAAATAAATTGTTAAATGATACTTGTTATAACCGCGGGTAATAACCATAACCACTCGTTTAGATTTCACGGGTAAATGGTTATACCCATAATTGTTTATTTGTTTAAATAGTTCCCCATAACCATAACCGTAAGTTTTAAATGGGCGGGTAACCGCGAAGGTGAGATATGCATCAATCCCACTATACCAGGCCCTAGGTTCTTTTTTCTGACCATATAAAGCCTTTCTTAGTCTGTAGACCTTATGACACGCATTCTTTACTTCAAAACTTTCATGTTGCTCAATATAGACCTCTTCTTCAAGTATGCCATTGAAGAAAGCTGATTTCACATCCATTTGAAATAATTTCCAACTTTTCGTGCTGCTAAAGCAATAAGGGTTCGAATTGTATCCAACCTTGCCACTGGGGCAAATGTCTCATATAGTCAATTCCAGGTATTTGTGTATACCCCTTTGCCACAAGTCTTGCTTTGTGTTTCTGGATAGTTCCATTAAGATTCAATTTAGTTTTGAACACCCATCTCACTCCAATAATAAGCTTATCTGTGGGTCTATCAACTAGCTGCCCAGTGTCATTCTTCTTAATCATGTCAATCTCAACATCCATAGCTTCTTGCCAAGCTTGACCTTTTGCAGCTTATAAGTAGCTATTTGGTTGAACTATACACATATGACATCTTGCATATATTTCATCTAGGCTCTTCCACTTCACTGTTGTAGAGCTAGGAGTTGAGTTCATACTTGAACATTCACTGTTATTTGTTGATGAACTAGCAATATCTGAGACCAATTGAGGACTTGCAGCATTTTCAATTTGAGGTTCATGAGGTGAACTTGTTTGCATTTCATTATCACTGGTGTCATTCTTAAAACTGATAGGTACAGAGAGTGACTCAACCTTGTTGCTTTCCCAATTCCAAGATTGATCTTCATTAAACACTACACTTATGGAGAGTATAATTTTCTTGGATTGCAAGTCAAAGATTCTGTATCCCTTCTCACAACTACCATAACTCATAAAGATGCCTTTGCTTATCTTTTCATCAAACTTCTGCCTCAGCTATGATGGGATGTGTATAGTATATGCATCCAAACATTCTTAAGTGCTTGATACCAGGTCTTCTACATGTGAATGCCTAAAATGGTGTTTTATCCTTCACTACAGTTGTAGAACACCTATTTTGTAGATACACTATAGTACAACTACCTCAACCCAAAACTTTACAGGGATCTTCTTATCAGCCATCATGGATCTTGCCATTTCTCCAATTGTTATGTTTCTTTCTCTCAGCAACTCCATTTCGCTAAGGTGAGTAGGCAACAATCAATTGCCTCTCCATTCCCACATCTGTTCAAAAATCAAGAAATTCATGTGAGATATATTCACCTCATTTATCACTTCTCAGCTTTTTTTAGAGTAAAGCCACTTTGCAATTCAACAAAAGCTTTGAACTTGTTAAATACATTGAACACATCAAACTTATTTATGAGAAAATATACCAAACACATCCTTGAAAAATTATCAATAAAGGTGATAAAGTATCTGTTTCCACCATTAGATTCATTTTGCATAGGGCCACACACATCTGTGTGTACAAGTTCAAGTGGATAGCTTGCTTTCCATACTTTCTCCTTATCAAAAGATTCTCTATGCATTTTTCTAGATGCACATCCCTTACACACATCTTGATTTTTTGATAGAATAGGTAAGCCAATGACCATGTCTTCTTTCAGCGTTTTTTTAGACTAACAAAGTTCAAATGACCTAGCCTTTTATGCCAAATCTATGAATGATTTTTCTTCAATTGATGCCTTCCTTGCCATATGGTTTAAAGATTATAGAAACAAGGTGAAGCATCTATTTCCAGCCATAAAAGATTACTGCCAAGGTTGCAGTCATAAAAGATTACTGCCATATTACCACCAAACAGAACATAGTAGCCATGCTCCATCATTTGACCAACACTTAATAAGTTTTCATCTAACCCTATAACCAACAGAACTTCATTTATGTATCTTTTCCCATGCTTTGTATCCATTACAAGTGTACCTTTCCCTGTTGCTTGTACCAAGTCCCCAGTCCCCAGTGCTCATTTTCACTTTGCAGGTGATTGAACTGTCAAGGTTTACTACTAGAGATTCTTGAGAAGTTATGAGGTTGTTGCATGCACTGTCTACAAACCACACTGATTTGTCTTGAGCAATTGAGGCTGAGTAACAGGCATAGAACATATTATTTCTTCTTCATTGCATAGTTGGCTACTTGTTTGTTGTTGTCAGAGTCTTTTGCAGCATATGCTCAAATCTATTGCACTTGCCACATTTTGGCTTGCCTTTGTACCTACAAAACCCAAAATGATAATTTTCACATGTTTGGCATTATGGTTACACAATTCCTTGACTATTGCTTCCTTGCTTGCCTTGAAAGGAGTTCTTGTTGTTCCAATAGCCACCACTTTGATTGTTCCAGCTAGTATTTGCACTATTGTGCTAGTTACTCTTATGAGACCAATTCCTTCCTTTCTTATTTTGTCCCCACTTTTGG